CAGGCCCCAGGGTACAGCAGTGAATGGCCCAGCACCCCTTTTCTCAGAAGCTTACATTCCAGAGTGAAGAGGCAGCATGTAAATAAATGAACAAACAAATGTGTAATATCACAGAGTGATATTGAGTGATGAAACAAGGAGGGGTTAGGGGCCAGATACTGGCTTATATAGGGTAGTCAGGGAAGAATTGTCCAATAGACTGATACTTGCTCAGAGACCCAAAGAAAGTGGCTGAGAACTCCACGTGGTATCTGTGGAAGCTTTTTCAATGCTGAAGTGCTTGGAAAACAAGGAAGCCAGTGTCACAAGAGCTGATGAATTCAGATGATTACTCAGAGGTGAGGGCAGAGAGGACGGATGTGAGCAGATCCTGCAGGTCCTTGGAGGCTCCATTCATGTTAGGTGCTGTTGAGTCAATTTCAACTCATAGTGGCCCCATGTGTGCAGAGTAGAAATGCTTCATAGGATTTTCTAGATTGGCCTAGACTTTAGAATGTACACTTGGAATAGATGGAGGCCATTGGAAGGCCCTGAGCAATGGAGTGATGTAACAAGAGTTACCTTTCCCAGTCTCTCTAGCAGCTGTGTGAAGACCAGACTGTTGAGGCTACAGGCAGGCAGGAAGACTAGTTAAGGGCCAGATGACACATTTGTTCTTCCTCAACCAGTGAGGGCTGAGTTGACTCCCAGATGATCCCTTGTTTGAATGGTAACACATATCTTTCTCATAGAGTTTGCAAAGCACATTCATATCCATGATCTCACTGCCTCTCCAATACATTCCACCTTCATTACGTGTTCTTGTTGTTGTTGTTGTTATGTGCCACTGAGTCAACTTCAACTCATAGCAACCCGGTGTGACAGAGTAGAGCTGTTCCATATGTTTTATTGGCCGTAATATTTATGGGAGCAAATTGCCAGGTCTGTCTCCTGCAGAGCCATTGAGTGGGTTCGAACCACCAACCTTTCAGTTAGCAGATGAGGATTTAACCTTTTACGCCACCAGAGCTCCTTTGTTCATTATATATCAAGACCAAAACCAAACTCACTCCTGTTGAGTCAGATCAAACTCCTAGCAACCTCTCCTTCTGAGGCAGTATCATTACAAAAGTAGATTGCCCAATCTTCCTTCCAAAGAGTATCTGGTGGGTTTGAACCGCCAGCCTTCTGGTTAGCAGTCAAATGCCTTAGGCACTAATGCAGGGGGAAAAAAAAAAAAAAAAAACCCAGTGCCATTGATTTTGACTCCTGGTGACCCCAGTTTTAGAGTTGAACTGCTTAACAGCATTTTCTTATTTTTAAAAAAGCAGATTGCCTGGCCTTTCTTACCCATCACCACCAGGTGACTTTGAACCACCGACCTTTAGTTAGTAGTCTATGTGAAATCCACTGACACTACCCTGGAACCTCAGAGACATACCAGCTATTTCTTTCCTACAGAGGAGACTCTGTATGCCCCTGCCTTGGGCAGCCAAAGTTAAAGCTGAACCTGGTGTGAATCCCAACCCAGTGCTCTACCTGTCTGGTCACACCAAAGTCATGCCCCAAGCCTTCTCTTTAATGTTTCACTGGTCTGGACTAGGAGCTGCCAGAAGTAACCCTCACTGAGCTTGTAGAACTTCCCAGCCTGCAGCTAAATGTTTACACACATTGTCTCATTTCATCTTCACACCTACCTTTTTGGGGAATGTGATCATATGCATTTTAAGACAAAGAAAATACTCCAAAAGGATCAGTTTCCCACCACCAGGCAACTAGTAATAAATAAGACTCTGGTTCTAATACCCATGAAACTCTTTACACCCAGACAATGAAAGCGTTTAACCAGTCACATGAATGGGAAGAACCCATTGCTGCTTTCCTTCTCTGTACCAAGACCAGCCTAGGTAATGCTGGGGCCAGGCCTGGGGGGCGGGGAAGGCATGAGTCAGCCATGGCGTCCCAGGCGCCGCCCACCCTCGGCGGGGGTGAGGGGGGCAGGAATCAGTCATGGGGGTCCCGCCGTGGCCCCCTTCTCGGCAGGGGCTCTGAGCCTGTGTTCTGTCTCTCTGTGTAGGATGCTCCAAAGTGACCTGCATCAGCCTGACCCGGGAGGCCTCCATTAAACTGTCCCCCTTGCATGGCAAACAGATTTCCATCCGCTACCTGGACATGACGGACTGCTTCGTGCTGGAGGACGAGGGCCTGCACACCATCGCCGCCCACTGCACGCAGCTCACGCACCTGTACCTGCGCCGCTGCGTGCGCCTCACGGACGAGGGCCTCCGCTACCTGATGATCTACTGCCCCTCCATCAAGGAGCTGAGCGTCAGCGACTGCCGCTTCATCAGCGACTTCGGCCTGCGGGAGATCGCCAAGCTGGAGTGCCGCCTGCGGTACCTGAGCATCGCACACTGCGGCCGAGTCACCGACGTGGGCATCCGCTACATCGCCAAGTACTGCGGCAAGTTGCGCTACCTCAACGCGAGGGGCTGCGAGGGCATCACGGACCACGGCGTGGAGTACCTCGCCAAGAACTGCTCCAAACTCAAGTCCCTGGACATCGGCAAATGCCCTTTGGTCTCCGACACAGGCCTGGAGTGCCTGGCCCTGAACTGCTTCAACCTCAAGCGGCTCAGCCTCAAGTCCTGCGAGAGCGTCACGGGCCAGGGCTTGCAGATCGTGGCCGCCAACTGCTTCGACCTGCGGACGCTGAACGTCCAGGACTGCGAGGTGTCGGTGGAGGCCCTGCGGTTCGTGAAGCGCCACTGCAAACGCTGCGTCATTGAGCACACCAACCCTGCCTTCTTCTGAAGGGGCGGCTCTCGCCCGTCCTTGTCTTCGCACAAATGCGAACGAAACAAAATGTTTAAAAAAAAAAAAAAAAGCAGCCAAGCAACCTATGTAAGCCCAGGGCACCCACTCATAGCAGCTATTCCTTCCAGGAAGGTTTAGGAATCTTGTTCATTTTATTTTATTTTATTTTATTTTTTTTTAATTTTCTCATGTGCAGCAAAGGTCAAAGAGGAAAAAAAACCTATACATTTCTATTGCAGTAAACAAAGGTTCTTAGGAATCCTGGTTGGCTTTTTGTTTGTTTTTTGGTTCTTCTTTTTTTTTTTTTCTCCTCCCCTAATTTGTCTTGGGCAACAGAGGTGAAAGGGAAAAAAAAATTACACATTTCTATTTCAGTAAGCAGTATTTTTGGGGGGAGGTGGCCCAAGGTCAGGTCATGTGTAGGCAATCCCCCTCTTAAACAGTCAGCTGCTACTGAGAGGCTGGAGGTCTGCGACCACCTGGAGGTAGCTCCAAAGAAGGGCTTGACAGTCTATGTCCAAACTATTCGCCATTGAAAACCCTGTGGAGCACAGTTCTACTCTGACACGTTGTGGGTCACCACCAGCTGGAATCAGCTTGGTGGCAACTGGTTTACCTCCGCTGGCAAAAGGCGTACCTCAGTAGGCTACTTACGGTATCATTCTAGTCTACCACCACCCCAAACCTCTACACCCCCCAAACTCTCACCCACCCCCTCCCAAAAGCCACAGTAACAGAGCATCAAAATAATGATGCCCTCTGGATCTCTTCCTCTTTAAACTGCCTGATGGGCCCAAACCAACCTTCCATCCCACCCCCAAGGAAATTCTTGTTAAGTAAATGCCAGGCAATTTACACAGACCAAGTGCTTTGCCAGCCTTTTGGAGGACTCGGTTGCTGAGAGCAGGGTGGTGGAGGATGAGCCCTGCATTCTTGCCCAGCTCTGCCACCAGCTGTGTGACCTTGGGCAGAGCGCTTCATTCGTGCTCTGGGCTTCAGCCTCCAGCACTGACTCCGAGGTCTGCAGCTCAAGGCTTGGCCCGTTTTAGAATGGAAGGATCAGAAAGGCCAGAAAACAAGCGTACCAGCCTAAGGTCACAGGGAATCAGCCTCTCCCAAGAGCACTGATTCAGTGCCTGGGCCGTGCTTCCAGGAGATTGTGAGGTCCCAGCATCGGTGCACAAAGCATGCTCTTGCTCTAATCTGAGCATCACCCATGTCCTCATTTGCTGAGGGGGTGCATCGGTTGCACATCCTCCCCTGCCCTGGTGGATGCTGGGATACCTCTGCACCAGTGCTTTCAGCACCATCCCACTTCACTGCATCTTAGGTAGGCTCCAGAATTCCTAATCACAGCAGAGCCCAGAGCTCACAGTCAGGTTGCCTTTTGGGGTGGTTTCAAATAGAGGCAAGACCCTCATACTTTTAACTTAGCAAGCACTCATGTCCCCAAAGATTTTGCAATCCCCCTCCATCCACACATGGAGTGCCTCAGGCACACCTGTCCTGCACCTGCCAGCCACAGCCTCCTGGACTCTGTGCCATTCTGATTGCATTTCTACTTTTCTCATCTGTTTATTCCTTTATGCATCCTGACTTCATCACACAAACCCAGTTGGGGCTCAGTTTGTAAGCCTTTAATTGTACAAATTGCCACTTTCGGTGCCTGCCCCTGTGGCTGTCTGCATGTTTTCCTTCCAAGAATGCCAAGAAGACTCACAGATGTTTAAATGCTAACCCCTCAAAATGCCAAACAAATAGAAGGGAGAACACATTGATAAGAATTAGACGCCCATCCACCAACCAGGCTCTTGGGATAGAACATTAAAATGATTACCAAATACAAATTTCTGTTGGTCCTGTTTGCATAGCAATCCACTCACGAGCTTCAGCCATCCAAAATAGGACACCAGGAGAAATTGCATTGCTTGTTTTCATGAAATTCAGTTGCCTTTTGCTAATAGACATAAGACCTTTCACAAATGATTTTCTGGCCAGGCCCTTCTTTCATCACTGGTGGAAGTGCCATTTGCTTCCTTCTCAAGAGGTCCACCCTGCGAATGTAGCAACTCTGATCTCCCAGCCAAGCACGCTGATGTCTTTCAGATGATGCCCCACCCCACTCAACAGCTGCACTCCCACTGTAGGCTCCATGCAACCCCTTCATCTTGTGTGGGGAGGAAGGAGTTAGTCTGAGGTGGCATCCTTCATGTAGTGTATGAAACAGGGGCTCCTGTACAGTCAACATCATCATCAATGAGATGTGCAACCCAGGCTGTGTGCCGTGGCGGACAGCGAATCATTTGGCTGGGAACAGGGTATAGAGATGGACACAGAGTCTAGAAGTGGGAAGGAGAGCAAGGTACGAGTCCCATGCTCTGATTTGTGACCGTGTTGTTAGTGTCAGGATTCCAGGGTCACAAAGGATTGACCCTAATCCTGGGCATCGAAGGCTTCTAAATGAGCTGGTTTAAGATTCCTGGAGTGGGAAGGAAGATGCAAAATGGCTCCCAAAGCAGAAAATGGGCTACCCATTACGAATACATTACCACCACTTGACCACATCAGCTAACCTACGTTCCAAACACAAAGCCGATTTTCACCCTGGTTTCCCAGCCACCCTGTCTTTTCCAGATGCCTCCTTCCTCACAGCCCTCTCTTCATCCGTTCTGCTCCCCTTGGAGCAGGAATCTATGACAGAGATTGCTGGGGAAACAGCTCAGCAGATTCTGAGAGCCCAAGCAAAAAGCCTCCCTGGGAAATTGATCTGTTTGAGACATTGCTTCCTTCCTGGCTCTGCTAAATTGAATGCTCATTGTATTTTGGTTTTTTTTTTTTTTTTT